AATCCATTCAAGAAGAGTAACTGAAATAGAGATCAGTTACAATCTATTGTGGGCTGGGAGGAAGGGATGAGACATGTGGTACAGACCCAGGAGCTTCCTACCACACTCATATGGGCTTGATCAAGTGAGCTGAAGCACAGGAGAGATGCAGATGCTGGGTTAGGAACCCAACTGCGGTCCTGCTCCGTGGGAACTCCTTGAGTCCCTTCAGTGGCTCCACAGGGCCTTCGCCTCCTGGTTGTGAGAGGCCAGCTGTGTGCCTCCCACATGCCTGCCAGGGGCTGCTCAGTCACCCAGGGAGATGAAACACGGCACCTCTCCCTATGAAACTGGTGCACCTCTGCCCCTCCCCTACAACACCCCCAAAGGCAGGGGACCTCACCTGAGCTCCCACATTCAAATCCCTGGGCTATGCCAGGCTTTTGAACCGATGTCATATTTTGGCATGTCACACATCTGCATGACCCAGATTCTTCCACCTAACCATGAAGCGGATGCAAGGGCAGGTTCCAGCCCTGTTACTCTGGCAAGGTCTGATAGCATCTGGCACCCAGGGCGAGCGGAACAGGGCCACCTGGCCCAGTGTGCCTCTCCACTTTGTGCTCTGCATCTCCACCCCATAGCACAGGTGTGGCAACTACTGCAGAGGGACTTGCATGGCCAGGTGAGATTTTAAGCCAAGTGACCTCACAACCTTGTCCCTGAACAAAGGTTTACTCCAGGCGCTCTGTGGCTGACCACAACCCCCCTCTCATCCTCAGCACATTTTGGTGGGCAAGCCGGGGAGGTAACAATACTTCTCTTTTTTCACAGAAGACAAAGCTGCGGAAGACACTGATTCCCATGGCAACAAAGGCAGAGAAGAAGTGTCCCAAGATGTGATTTGCTGTCACCATACCCACCTCATGGCAGATAAGGACAAGTGATAGCTCTGAAAGGAACTGTTTCCATGGGACCCTTCTCAATGAGCCCTTGCGATGACAACTCAACCGTCAGCCACAGCTTTCAGCATCAAACAAGTCTGACTGGTAGAGAGCAATGCTGTTTCCTGCAGCAAACACTGCCAGTGTCTCATCCTCTAGAGAGGAACAGGGCCCTCCTCGCTCCCTCAGTGCCTGCCTAACCCCGAACAAGCCATGCTGCTGCTTACTAATCCACTTAACCAGGTAATTATAGTGGGAGAGCAGCCTGCAGGGAGCCACACTCAACTTCCCAGCTAAACAGTGTCCCGAGTTTTCTTAACCCACGGAGTGGTACCTTAAGCTATGTTGAAAGCTCCTCACAGAGCACACGTTTATGCTTTGGTAGCACGGGCTATGTAAGCGCATTTCCTTCCGACACTTTCATTTATCATAATTCCCCCCTTGCAACCCTGCCCCTTCAGTTCCCCAGGGAAAGTTAGTGAATTTATGCAGGAACAAAGTCACCTTGAGCCTTAATCCACACCCTAGCAGAAGGAATACATCTGTCTGTCGGCAATCCCATCCACCCACTCTGCAACTGCATTACAATGCTCACTTTGTTAGCACTGAAAATACCAGCTCCTTCTCCAGTCCTGGAGACAAGCTACCATAAAGGCTGGAGCAGAGAAAATGGACTGGGGACAGAAAAAATGGCCCTGCACGTTCGAGGCCAAACAGGCAAACCGAGGTGAAAACAGTGGAATTAGGAAAAAAAGAGCAAATAAAAGAGTCGACAAACCTAGTTCGAAACAGTGGCCAAAGCAGATAGCAAAGTACAGTGGAACCAGGCACATAAAGCAATCTGGATTTTGCCATCCTGGAGCAAAGGCCAGATTCCCTCATAACCAGGCTGGCAGCCAGCTTGCTGGGGCCATGGCTCCACTTTGCCCTTCCTCCTTCCCTCAGAGAAATCAGCCCTGATGCTGCCTGAGCACACAGGGCCAAGACAATCTTTAAAAATTGGCCTGGCAGCTCCCGTAGCCCCAAATGGCACCACAGATGTGCATGGAAACAAAGCTCCCTCCAGCAGAGGCTCTCCCAGCCCTGCACACGTGCTCACCTGACGTTTTGGAGGCATGCACTGATTCACAACTCAATCCTGCTGACACATTCCTGCTCTCCCAGGCAGGGTTCCCACCTTTGTGCCCGTCTTCACGGAACAGCTCCTTTGCATTCAACAGGAAGAACTGCCGCTGCTTGTTGCCATCTGCCCTACTTGCTGCCATGCCTTGATAAACAGTCCTGGGATGAACCTGTTTCTGACTGGAAGAAATGAAACATTAATATTCCCAGAAGAGTGCAGGAGTTACAGCAGAGGGCAAAGAGACTGAAGAAGAGGTGAGTGGATAGTTGCGCCAGTCCCAGTGAAACTGCCTCTTAGGTACTCCCATCCTTCCAGCTGAATAGCACAGTCGGCTGTAGCCCAATTGCTTTGTCATCTCCGGCACCCACTGCAGGCAAACACCAGCTTTTGTCAGCCCAGTGTCTTTTTTCTCTGCCATGCACCCCGTAGTGGATGAGTGAGTTTCTAGAAACCATTCCCACGTGACAAATGGAAAAAAGAGTAAGGATATAGGTGTCCCAGTACAGGAGTTCTCTGAGCTAGTGTTGGAATCCGGAAGCCCACAGAAATCAACCCATCCCAAATTCCCAATATTTTGCTTACTGCATTATAAAGAAAGAAAATTTAATTAGCACATGCAAGTAACCTCATCCTTAGCTGCTGTCATTCCACTGGTAAACTCTGGATTCTACAGCTACTTACATGGCTTACAAGGACAAGGTGGATGGGTTTTCTATCCTTCACAGCTGAGCAAGAACACCAGTGGACACAGACTTCACCAACTCACCCAGAGGTCCACCAACTGCCACCTGCTGCTTTAAAATCTATTCCCAAACAAGACAGATTGTCCACCAGTAGCTTACCTGAGTTTCTGTAATCTCAGCATCAGTCTTCCTTCTCCTGGCAGTACTTTTAAACCAAAGAAGAGAGCCACAAAGCTTGCTCTCTGCTCCTGGGCTCCAGGAATACATTCCGATTTGCCCATTGCATTTTTCATCAACACCTGCATGCTGCTGCAGACCTGGTCAAAGGAGACATTCCTTCTGGGATCCAGGGGTAAACAAACATCATCACCAGCACAAGAGAACCGAAGGAAACGTTCCCAGCAATTGCCTAAATTCATCTTTTCACTTCTGTACATACACATCCAAGCAACTCTCACTTAGGAGAGGTTTTAATAGAATCACAGAATGGCTTGGGTTGGTAGGGGCCTTAATTATCTTCTACTTGCAATCCCGCTGCCATTGGCATCTTCCACTAGACCAGGTTGCTCAGAGCCCCATCTAGCCTGGCCTTGCACACTTTCAGGGATGGGCGTGTGGGCTTGTGTGGGCGTGTACATATCACACAGAGCCCCGATTCAGCCCCACACAGCGGCCTAAGAGCTTGTATTTACAGCTCTCTTCGAGCAGGAGGCTGTTTACTAAAAGGATTAGATAAGGCTTGACAAAGATGCAGGAAGGTGGGCATGCTGTGCCTTAGAAAACTTTTGCAATACAGAACCCAAAACATCCCTGTAGGCACTTCCAGTTAGAAAAGAACCTAGAAAAGGAGGGGAGAAATTGCAAACAGGTTTGGCAGAGCTCTTTGGCCACTGCTGCACTGAGAGCAAAATTACAGGAGACTAATCAAAGAACACTGTGTCCGAGACATCCCTGAGCAGCCACTGCTTGAACTGGTGAGATCTGTGGGACTACCTCAAAATACTTCCTCCTTTTATCTCCGGAAAAAAAACAACCCTTAAATCACACTGCTGCTTCTACTCCCACTCTCCTGCAGAAGGGAATGCTGTTCTTCTGGGTTTGGTAAGGACAAGCTGCTCACATGCTCTCTAAGGCTGTCCAGCACTTAGAGCAGAAGCCCAGTTCTCCCTGCTTTGCAGAATCCTGTGGTACTGCCTCCAGGCAGATGTCCACACCATTTGCGTTACAGACTTCCAAGAAAATCAGGATGCAGCAACATTGCTTGTAGGGCCTCTATTGTGAGGACCTTCCTTGATACAAAAAAGCATTGTGGGGCTGAAGCACACCTTTTCTTTCACAACCAGCTTGGTCAGACAGTCTGTCACATCCTGGTGTTCAGCCTAACCACCCAGAAATTAGTTCCAAATGTGTTTCCTCTGCACTGTGAAGTTAAGTAATTCCTACACTTTGTCATGCCCAAACATTCAGTTCTGGAGATCACAGTCACAGAGGTGGTGATGGGGACTGCTGTCATCTGCATTTTCAAGTAGATACTCAAGCAAAGCTTTACTCCTCAGAGTACTTCCAGAGTAGGCTGGAAAGTTCCTGACGACTAAGTTGGAAAATGAAGTGACAGAAAAGGGGTAAAAATATGAGCTGTTAGTTTTTCTGAGGAACAGCACCATAGCACCACCAAACTACTGGGAGTTGAGGGACCAGAATGTGCAGGCACGGAAGTTTCTCCAGCGATCTGGTATTGTGCTCAACTCTGAATTTATGGTAAATTATAAAACACAAACACAATTACCAAGTTCCCTGCTGTGTCCATTTAAACACAGCTAAGTGTAGGTGTGGATTTGTGTTAAAAGAAACAAGCCACAGGAGAGGAGGCACAGCAGGGCCCGCAGCCACATGGCACATTTAATTCCAAGGGAAGAACACCTGACTTCTACATGCAGATCAACAAAGAAATAAATTAATAAAACCAAGTATATGTACTAGTTTCTTTAGTTCAGATCATTGCTTACACCATTATGGACATGTGTTAGGGGACTCCCACAAAACCTCCTGTGAGCCTGATCAGGAAGAGTGCCAAACCGCAGCATGTGGGAACATGGTCCCATTTTAGGTTGGGATGAGGGTTCGGTTTCAGCATTAGTCAGGGCTCAGGTCTTCACAGCAGTTGACTGAAAAGCAGCTGTTAAAGCCAGGCCTGTGAGGAAGATGAGAAGCACGCTTTGCAGAACCACACCAGGAAGAGTGGAATAAAGCACATGGAAGAACTAGCCCAGATCAAGTCAAAATAAGTTTATTCACGTGAGATCAGTTTGGACATGACCAGATTGAAAACCGTTCTCCATCCAAGCACCTTGAGGAAATCCACAGAACCAAAAACCCAGGACAATGACGACGACGACAACAACGATCCCGAAGCCACAGGCACGCCTCCCTAATTGCGGGTGGCCTCAAAGCACCGCCGTGCACTTGGATGCAGTGGCTAGGCTGCCTGTGCTTACGGTGCTCGCATCACATCTGACACTTCTCCAGAGGGGACAGAACTGTTTACAGGAAGCCATTTGTTACAGGGGCCGGCCTCTCCTCCCCCCTGACCCTGGCGACATCCCTTTCCCATCCCACCTTTCATCAGCAGCTTATCTACTGCCCAGACGGCCGAAAAGCTCATCCAGGTTGGAATTTGAAACCAGAGATTCTCAGACGCCGTGGCTGGGGCAAACGGTGCCGCCATCAATTGTAGAAGTAAATTTCAGGGAGTTTTCATTCTATTTGTACAGGGGCTAATGAGTAGCTTGGGATGTGAACACTAACCCCAGGGCGTAATTCTGAGAACAGGATGATAGATTCTCAGTCTCCTGCTCTAATTATACAGGCAAAAATTGGAATGGGAATGAGAAGAAACAAGAACAAGATTCAGGTCCCACATCAGCTTAATAGCATCATTTTCCCAAGCAATAAAATTTTTTGAGGGTTAGCAGAAAGATGCAAGAATCACCTCCACCAAGAGAGAAAGAAAGACTCCCAAAAAAAGTACAAAATGGGGCAACTGGGTTTCACATTAAGCAAAGCTGCATGGAGACATCACTGCAGAAGCAGCAACCACCAAGCAACCATTCAATACTCTAAAACCGTAAGGCACTGATGATGTTCCTCTCATTACAATCAACACATGACTAAAAATTGACATTCATCAATTAAAAAATAAAATAAAATCACTGTACAAGTCAAAAAGGCAACTGTTCTCATTTAAAAAGTTTCAAATTCTCAGCTCCAAGAATTTTGCTGTCGCCCATCCCCATCCCATGTGTTTGGTCAGAAGTTCTGCAGGTTAACGCATACCTATTGCAATGAAACATCCAAGGCATAAACAGAAAACAATCTGTTGAGAACTTACTCGGCGATCCCTTTGACATCACCAACAAATGTCAGAGGTGTCAGTTGGTCACCCTACCTCCTGCAGCACTGCAAAGCACTCAAGCATCACCACACTAAGTGTAGCCACACATTTGTAGTGCTGACTTGCCTCTACCTTTCCCTTCAAGATACGCGACTCAAGCTTTCAAACCCTGGAGCTTGAGGTCCCCTAAACAGCTGTAGGCAGAGTAGCATGGGGGAAACACAGCAGCAGCTGCTCATAAATGCTATTCCACGAGAACGCTTCAGTCCCTGTCTGGAAACCTATGTCCAAGAGCAGCCAGGTCCCTTAAATTCCTTTAATTCCATTCTGGTCCTTTGTTGCTAGAGATAAGCAATTGCCCAAGAAGTAAAAAGTCAGTGACATCAGTTTCCTTCAGAGGGTCACCTGACAGACCCATTTTGGTCAGTATTGATCAGGTTCAATAAACAAAGCTGTAGTGAAAGTGTCCCATAACTGAACCCTGAAGCCATTCAAGTATCCTTTAGACACAAAGGATCTATTAAGGCTTATTTCAGAGATCATAGTAAAGTATTGCACACTATTTGTCTGCTTAAATAGTTTAAAAAAAAATGAAATCTCTTTTCTCAGAGATTAGTAACGGTATTAAAAAATACTAAAAACAAATATGGAGGTGACTTCTCCATGTGACTCTACTAGAATATGTAACAATTAATAGCTAGGGATAGCAGAGGTCCATCTGTGCACAGATTTAGCAACGGCAGTTTTTAAACAAAAATTACTGTGTAAATTCCAAATAATTACTTTTGCCCTTTATAAAAGCTTCAGTGATCGTAAATTTAGCCTACCCATGAGCTGCACTGGATGATTTCACCAGCACAATAGAGCATCAGAATTCATTGCAAGACAGCCTCTTGAAAACCGTCAGTTTTAAACAGCTGGCCTTTGGTCAGCACATCCAGAAATAAATAAGAAAGGGTATAGTAGAGAGACCACCCATCAGAAGAACTGAGTGCGGCTGCTGGCATGGAAGAGTCTGGGACAATCCATCAGTCCCGTGGATTGTCTGGCTTAGGTCAGCAGCTCCATGACGCAGGTGGTCTCACGACAGGTATTTGGTACCTCACTACCAAGTTCTCCAAAGGCAAGTCAATCAAGTCTTGTGGAGCCATTTTGAATTAGTCCAGACCTGGAGGATGTACAAAACAAGTCTCCCAGAGTTTTGATTAGAGTTCCAGCTGTCAGTTCCATACAACAGTCCTTCTAGAGGCAAGCAGAAGTCACTCTGCCAGCATTCGCAGGCGCCGCTCATGCAGAAGCAGCCTGATCTCCCTCACTATCAGTGGTGAAATGAACAGGATTGTTGAACTCGTCTGTGAAAAGAAGCATATCCAGGATGATTAGCACAGAGAAACCAGAGCTGCAGCCATCCCATATCCCAACACGCATCCAAGGCCACCCAAGAAAGACACAGGCTAAGAGAAGCAATGACAAAATGACACAGTGGATGGAAGGACTGAGCTTGCAGGAAAGCTCATACAATTTCAGCTGTCATGATCATCTTGTCATAAAGATGAGCTCTTCAGCCCCTCAGTGGCCTTCCTCCTCGCCACCTCTGCTGGTTACCAAAGTAGCCTTTTCCCTTGTCAGCACAGATACAAAGGCAATTCCTGGCACTTCCAGCAGGGAAGACCAAGTGAATCGTGCAGCATTCACCACTGTGGAGATGATGAGGAGGTCAGGGCCTGAACAGTGGCATACCAGGGCAAGGCATTTTCATTTTAGTTTTCAGATTCCTCATCACTCCCTCCAAGTGCTTCAAGGGCTAATAAACGAGTAGCTTAACTTCAGCTCTCTGAAAATATTAGGAACTATGTACTGCCTTGGAAGTCAGTCAGGTGGCATGAGCTTTAGGAAATGCATACAGGTATTTTTAGGCAAGTATTTCTGTGTCTCTGCCACAAGCTCAGTTCCTCTTGGGCAACATGACTTTTAAGGATCCCGAACGACAACAGTTGATTTAGACACCTTGAGGCAAAGCCACACCACAGACCACTTTGAGAACAGCATCAGAGGTCACAGGTGCTGCAGAGTCTGTCCCTAAGTCACAACTTCCAGGTTCTCACAAAAACTTTCTATTGCAAATTGAACTTTGACAAACAATTTTTAAAAAATATGATTTCTTACCATTAGAATGAAGAAATAGAAAACCCACATCCACCCCAGGTTCTCCTGGATCAAAGACACTAGATACTAAATAGAAAGGAAAAAAAAAAAAACACCAAAAAAAAGTCATTCAAACTGGGAAGATAAGGATGACTTTCAGGCATGACACTTTCATCTTCTAGAATTTGTGGGCTGTTAGCACACCACACAGAGCTGATCACAAAACCTTCCAGCTCATCTTTTCCTATCAGAAGAGATGACTCAGGAGAGCAGCCTTTTTCTGTATAAAACCCACAGTGTTAGTAAAGCAGACACCATCCTGAAGCTTTCCAGTAACTCAGAGCAGCATAAAGACAGAACTGAACTACAGTTTCAAAGGGTGACAAATTGACTCCGCTGAATACAAGGTTTTTGCACAGAACACTGGGATATAAGAGGATGTAAGTACTCTCAGAAGAACTAAAAGCTCTCGAATGGCTTATAAATTGCACAGGACACATTTTCAAGAGCTGTGCAACCACTGACTACTTAACCCTCCATCGCAGGCAAGACACTTAAGACTACAGTCTGTTTTGAACTGCACCCTGGTCCAACAAGGCTGCACAGGCCACACAGGGAAATATATTCCCTATTAGCAGATTTATATTCAGATGCTGCACAAGGGCCTCCCTTCTTCCCTACTGAGTATATCAGCACAGAACAGGATCTGAATTTCCAACACGTTCATTGTGCGTTTGCTGTTATTCACACACCCCCGGAATGACATCATGGTTGTCTCCGTTGGAATAAATGCAGTGCTGGAAAGGGAGGCAGGTGGAATTTTTCAGAACTAGAGACCCAGTTTTTATGATGACGTAAGTCTGAACGGTATGTGTGTGGGAAGACAGAAGCACTGTAGACGATGCCAGAAGAACACTGAGTGTAACAGTGCACTTATGTATGTCCACAGAGCACTTGTAGTTTTCCATGTTTAAAGGATCTAAGCAGCATTTATCCTATCACACAGAGACTGAACAACTGTATTTATCAGGCCATCAATGGCAAGTACAAACTCAAATCCCTTTCTAGAAAAGAAACTCACATGCCTTGCCTGCGTCCCTGGTATTTTACCATCACTAGAGGATGCCTGGAATAGAACTGGCTCCGATCTTTCTACTGAATCCTCCTCAAAGCACCACTGTGTTCTTTCACATAGTTAACACTTGTTTGTGAGAAGAAGGAACATCCCCAGTGGGCACACTGTCAGCTTCCTTCTCTGCAACAGTCTAGTCCTCAGACCTCTGGCAGCATACTGACTACTGAAGCAAGTAGTGCTGGATTTACAGGGCTTAAACACATCCACAGATATAGAGAGGAACCACAAATAACAGTAAATTTTAAATTACTTCATAAACACTGTAACATTCATAACAGGTATTCCAATTTTACGCAGTTGTACAGGTAAACTTTTCTGTAAGCAAACGCTTTGCTATCATCTTTAAACAAAAAATCCCAAGCAAATGTCAAAATATTTTATTTTCACTCTTTGCAAAGCTGGCCTTTAATTGCTTTTTGGAGTTCAGGGTGTGAAAGTCTCCAAAATTCCTTTGTATTATGAAAGTGCCATAACATTAGCACTATGAATACTTAGTTTAGTTCTTAATTAATTGCTTCCACTGGAAACCTTGATAAAACAGACAGGTTCCCTTGGTTGGATCCTAAGTAAGTAATTATTTTAAAACACCAACCCAACCCTCTCTCCCTCTCCCCACACAACTTTGGATTGAGGAATGCACTAACATGTCTAACCACAACAGACTCTTTGCTTCCTTCCTCAGACCTCTATTTTCCTTTGGTAGCCTCACCTGGCCCACTGCAGCACCAATACTGCCAGTTCCATCCACAATTCCTGTGACTGTTGCCAGAGCCTCACTGTTGCCTTTCACCAGATCTTGGCGCCCCAGGTCAGCAGAAATTGCAGAACTGATCATGTTAGAAGGGCCTCCGATGAAAAATCCTGAGAGTGACAAGAAAACAGCCTTGGTGCAAAACAAACACTCAAATTCTCAACAGAGCATCTTCAAAACACAGGCTTTCTACCACACAAAGCTCAGGAAAAGAATTAAGTCTAAGGACAGTGCTCACAGACTAACTGCAGGTGAAGCACACAGTCATGGAGCACACTGCACAGCTGGAGTACCAAGACAGAAACTGCCAACAAGAACACTTTCACTACTTTGGACTAGTACACCCCCATGCTACAGTCTCTGTCTCTAAGGGTTCACGGTAGAGGTGGAAGGCAAAAAAACCCCCACAACAATAGGACAGGGAGTTTCAAAGTAGGAGTGTTTGGAAAGAAAGGCTCTATTCATGCAGGCTAATCTTAATTCCATAACACAGCACAGTATGTCTGGTAGCACAAAAACCTTGTGACCTCTCACAGTACATGAAGTATTCCAGGTTCTGACAAATTTGAGCTGCAGCTCATGACTCTGCCATATATCCACTTCCTCAGATACCAGATCACTGCCAGGTATTTTACCATAAATCCATCTCTGTCATACTGAGCCAAGGCAGATCCCCTCAGCTCCAAGCCATTATTCTATACCTCCCTCTGTAAAGCAGTTTTCCTAGAGCTGTTTTCCAAAGGCAACAGAAACTGGGCCCCAGCCTTCAGTCCTTCTGCAAAACCAGCAGAGATTGCAGCACACACAGACACCTTTTACCACCACCTGGTTGGTGTTATTGACTGTTCTGCAGTGGATACAGATGTCTATTAGCATAACAGTGGCTTTTGATAAGATACCTGTAATTGCCATGATCACAGCATTGATAGGTTTGCTGTTTGGGGAACCTGCAAGAGAAAGACCAGATGAGTCTAAATAAAACAAGTGAACCTGAGAACACCATTCACTTCAGTTCAGAAACAAGCATGGACACATCTACTTTGAACTGCCTGCTAAGTTTGTTACACAGTGACAACAATAACTTCTGTTTGACCAGAGACTTCTACAGAGGTGAGTCTTACCGCAAAGACATGTAGAGGCCAAACATGCAGAAGTATCCTGAGAGCACTTTACAGTAGAAAAATCATCTTTGCCAATAAAATTTTGTGGCCTACTTCAGCATCAGATTTGCCTGGCTCTGTATTTCAATCTGTGTTATGCCTCTGTCTGTGACACAGAGCTTGCATTTACTCTCCTTGAAAGTCCATTTGAATGGTAAGAGAATCCTTCCTCTGCCTCTCTGGGGAAGTCAGACTCAGTTCAAGCTCTCTCACCATAAAAGTATTTAGTACTTGAATCAGCCCTTCTATTCATTCTGAATTTTCCAAAACATTTTTTAAAATACACAGATTGTACCTGGAGGTAGTAATCCAGCAACTGCCTAAACAATGCTGCACAATAAAGTAAAAAATACAAACCCCCATATCCCAACTCCTCCTTACAAAACCATGTTTGAGCATCTACAACCTCCATTTGTATTTCCAGCAGCATGTGTACATGCAGCTGGCTTTCCATTATAGTCCCTTAGTGCTTTTCAGATACTCTTTTCCCTGATACCTCACTTTCAAGCATTACCTGAATTCCTTACTCACTTCAGTTTAGTTGAGTTACTACACATAAGGCAAGCTGCAGCCCCCTTCACATATTTCCCAGGTCATTATGATCACTGTTATATGCAACACTCCATGGGCATAAAATGGTTTCCTGGTTTGGCTGATGGAAATAGAATTATCACACTGCAGGAACTTTGGATCACCTGTCTGAGAATTCTGTATCTGCCTGGACAGTAGCACATTTTGAGAACTCCAAGTCCTACAGAAGCCTGTCTGTATCACCACAACATTTTGTAGGAAGACATAAAGAAGTGAAATGACATTGCAGTGAGTTAAATCTCTCTGGTACCACAGGATGCTCTGTCTGAACACACAAAACTGTCACACTTAGAAGTTCTTCATAGAGGTTTCATAGAAGTGATATCTTCCCAACTCCTTGTACTAAGTTTTCCTGACAGACTTCTTTCAATAATGAAACACCAAGAACTATATCTATTACAAAAGAGGAAGGAAGTCTCCAATTTCACCACTTACAGAAGTGTAAGAGGTGAAGTCTAAGAGCTTCTCTTGCCCTGTGTAGTGTATATATACCCCAGCACAGATCTGTCCCTAGATTCTATTTCCTCTTACTGTAGGGGAGCACCTGAGATTTCTTGCTTTGCCAGTTGTGGTGTTGACACAATGACAATGCTAACACATTGACACTGGAGAAGGATCAGGACCATAATTCACCAGTAAAGGGAAATTCAACCACTCAGCTAATTCTTTTCCACCTCATTAACCAGAGAATAGATTTCTTTCTGTGCAGTGCCACACTTCAGCAAAACAAACCAAAAGGCACCATTCTGATCCAGAAGCAGTTTCAAGGCCAGAAAGCATAATTAGAACAGGCTGTGCTCTGGTTCTCTCTAAGATGTACTGAATGAACCTCTTATCGCTGCGCAGCCCAAGCATACTCACGGCTGTATCCAAAGAGAGAGCCTACAGCAAAAAGCAGGCTAATTGCTAGCACTGGGGCTCTCTTCTGCAGCACATCAGAAATCAAGCCCTGGATAGTCCCACCTGCAAAAACACAAAACAAGACAAAAAAAATCACTGTCAGGCACAGGATGCTGCTGACACCTTGAACAAAACTCATTTCACTGAGGGCAGTGGCCTCTTGCCTTCTCACCAATACACATTCTCTCTAAAATCCTGAAAACTAAGTCTCTTGCCCTTACTGCTCCGGACACAGAGAGAACAGATAAAGCAGGGAAAACTACCCATGCTGCTTTCCCAGGAATTTAATAATTCTTTTTTTTCTAGCACGCAACTAGCCAATGCTCCCGCTTTTCTTTTCCTTCCCCTATAGGATCATCACAGCTCTAGGATCACCACAACTCTGGATTAAGCAAGTTTAACATTGTGGCTGGGTCCTTCAACTGGAAGTGTGAGAAAAGGTTTGTGTTTTTTTTTTTTCTCACAGGAAAAGCACTATCACACAGGGGCCTCATACTTCCTGCTGTTTCACCTACTTAGGGTAGGTGCAACTGATTCCAACAACTGCCAAAGGCCAATAAAAATCAACTTTGTATCAACGCTATTTCTGTAAAAACTAGAATGATGAGAAGGCCTAACACAGAAAAGGCCACAGAGGTAAAATTACTGACCCTGAACAGGTCCAGACAAGGATGGCTAATCTAGGAAAGCTAACTGGACAAGGTAATAAAGCAAGAAACTGAGCACAGAAGAGTGGAAGTCTAAACACATATACAGTATGCTCTTTATTCTGGAGGAACAGGGTCAGATTTTGCAGCCAGCAGAAAGAGGTGCAATTACATTTTATTTCTGAACATAACACAGTTGGTCCCTGCTCTGACAAAATCTGCCCTGAGTCTGTCCTCACAGAAGGACAGAAGTCTGTCCTCACAGAAGGGACAGTTCAGAATCCAGTAAGTCCAGATCTAAATATCCCTCAAAGGCACGTGTCAGAAAGAAAGCAGCAAGCAGGGGCATCATTTTGTACACAGCACTTTTCAAGAAGTCCTAGTCACTACAGAAAAATGCCAGCTGGGGATAAGGTTCAAGAGTATGATAGTGCCCTTTAACTATATGCAAACTCTTTAGGGGGTCGCATACTCTGTGTTTAAGAAAAAAAAAAAAAAGAAAGCCTAGCAGCCACATACATATCTAGAATTTTCACATATTCAGTGAACAGCTGGATCCCACTGAACACGACTGCTCTGGCTGCATTTGCTGTCTTTCACTTTCAAATGCCAGCAGGGCAACTGCAGGAGGATGTAATTTTCCTGCTCACTCACCTATGATTCCTCCCACATCATACCAGATTGAGAGCTGGTCAGCTTCTGCTTCTTTCCATCCAAAGTTGTTGCTGAGGTAGAAAGGCAGCCAGAAGAAGAATGAGTAATTCACCAGTTTCAAGCAGGCATAGGCCAAAGAGTACTGGAACAAAAAGAGGGCCGGCAAGCAGTTAGCACTTGAGAAATGCAAACAGTGTTTGATTCTTCTTCACATAAAGCTCTGAATCCAGCAAAAGCTTTCGGAGGCAAGTGCTTCTGCATTTAACGTAAGAAGACAGCATTATGAAAGCTTAATGCTGAACATCAAAGGGATCCCAGGAATACAAAAATCACTGTCAAGAAGGTTTTTGTTTTTTTTTTTTCACTGAATGCAATGGGTTAAAACACCTTTGGTGTAATCTTGAGAGGAAATGACACCAGGTTTCAAAAGAAAAGAACAAAATTTAATTCACCTTCTGAAGAGAAGGGAGCCAAGCACATGACATGAAACAAGCTTGAGATTTAGTCATCTGTGGATCATACTGAGAAAAGTTATGTGAAGTAGTTCCTCTGTACTATCTCGTGCTGCTCAGAAGGCTCATCTGCTTACAGCATCAGAAGAGAAAGCTTCGTTCATGATCCATAGGCAAGTATTCCAGGACAAGATGAAAGTTTGGCCAAAGTTAAGCACATGCTTCCAAACTGAACAGCTGAAACAACCTCCTGCTTTTGGCTGCTGCGCTCAATTTCTCCTTAGCTCCTTGGTCTCTCACCAATCTGACATAGTGTCCTGATTTGGCTGGGCACTAATCTGACATCAGATAAAACTCATGGACTCAGAGGTGTTCAGGTTGCTGGATTAGGGTGCAGAACACGTCCTCAAAATCCAGCGTACAAAACCAGCCACCTCAGTTGCTGTTCCTCTCTTTTGTTCCAGCCAGTGAGAAAGGTCACACATCAACTAATGCAGATGCCACCTTAAGAAATTTTGCATAAGGCACTTAGCCATGTTAGGAAGGAACTCAAAATGGGTTTGCTTTCTTTTGCCATCCCTCAAACAATAGGTCTTAACAGTAGAACCGTGGTTGTCCTGCACTCAAAACACTGACAATCCACCCGTTGCTTTACTCATTAAGGGTGCCTGACAACACTATTCATTCTGCTTCATGACCAAATGCAGACAGTTCACACTGTACTGCTGAGCCAGCCACCCTGCCCCCTTCCTTGTACTGGTTCTAGCACTGAGAGGAACCACAGCCCACTGCTGTGGAAAGTTAATATTGTTTTTTTAGTGACAGGTTAATTTTTCAGCTGAATCAAATCCATGAATTGGGCAATACTGCTGATGCAGAAGTACAAGTTCTCACACAAGGGACAGGAGAAGGATATGTTGGAAACTGCATCACCAGGCCTTATTTCCAGCTGTTTATAAAAACCCCCGTTCTTTGCCAGCTGTTACATCATGCTGATTCAGGCTCTTCAGGCCAGCTTTTTGCTTTAAGGCAACTAAAAAACCCCAAACCTCAGTATCAGCACCACAGAGCTCTGTGTGATGCTCAGCTAACAGTGAGAACCCCAATCCTCAGAGCAAGTATCTGCCTTACCAAGAAAGCATCCTACAGCCACCTTTGCTCATGGCCTCCCTTTGAAATCCACAGCAGAAAGAACAGGATCTCTGCTGCCCTTTGTTGACTCATTACATGCCCTCCATGAAGCAGGGGTCTGATGGGAGGAGCAACACACAACCAACATACCTGGACAGTATTATAATCCATGTGCACAAGGACAACAGGCCCAACCCCAAGATTTTAACAGGATATGAAGTCAGATGTCAACAACTACAACATATGGTCAACATTCTAACAGCGACATTAACGAATGCTAACAGCACAAAAAGTCAGCTTTATGTTTAACAGGTAGGTCAGCCTTCACTCAAGAATCTGTGTCCTCACCGGTACTACTCCAGGAAGGCAACAAGCCTGGAAAAATCCAATGGCCTTCGGCTGGTTGTCAGTGTCAGTTGCTTGAATAGAGTAATTCCTGTCGTCATCATCTGCATCATCACTGCCCATTAAAGGTCTGTTGGCATCTTCTTCCACAACGGCATCTTCATCTGCTCCAAGCTCAGGGAGGCCTAAGTTTTACAAGAGATAAGCAACAGGAAAAACGGACCACAGTCTCTTCACCCTCTCCCCACTCTAAAGCTATGCTCACTTCTTTTTAAGCAATTCTACCTTCCAGAAATTCCCTTGCTCTCCCATACCTCCATCCTCCTTTGGCTTAGAAACTCTTCTAGATGGTGTTCTGCAGTGCCGCCAGTTTCTACCCTTTGTCTTCTAGCGCTCTTGAAAGTATTGTCTGATCCTGGCGTCGGCTTTGTCTGTTCTGAGTGTCTGGCCATTAGTTGGAAGACACAACAAATTAGTGCATTTCCCCCCTTACTTAGTGGTTGGGATCCTCAGACCTGGCTCCTGGATACCACTTCCCTTGACTGTGGAGGCTGAGTGTACTCAGCTGCTGCCTGTTAATGCCTCCACTGGAGTGGAAGGCCTGGAAACTGCACTGTGCTTCCTGGGACACAGAGCACTCTTACGAGCACTCTTTATGGTAGCTTAAAGTGCTACCAACTTCATAGCCTTTGCAGGCACCTGGGAAACCTCCTCCATGGCCCTGTCAAAGCCCAAACATTCTTCTGTTTTCCTGTTACACTTTGACTTGCCTACCACCTTCTCAGAAGAGGACCACATCCAACCCTGGAACTATTTAACTGGCTGTGGGAGGCCTGAAGATGAAAACTACTTTCCCTTCTTATTGCATGGCTTGCCATGTTTTTCTCCTACAATAGCCAGTTATCGGTTTGTTTGCAGCTTCTTTAGGTGAAGAAAAACTGATAATTAGGCACATCCTAATGGAGATGTTAGAGCCAGGCCATTTTATGTCACTTTAAAAAATACCCAGACTCTATACACGGGATGCATGGTGGCATTTAATGTAATAGGGGCGAGTAAAGCATTTGCTCCACTAAATACACTGAAGTGCAACACCATTTCGTAAGAGCCCTGAGGATAAGTACTGTCAGAATGAGCAGAGCTTTCAGTAGTACTACATGGAAAGCTGCAGATCTGCTTTCCATGAGGGGACTGAAACAGTACAGCTCTCTTCCACTTACCCACTTCCTTCGGTGACGTCAGGAGCCCGAAGAACACAATGACTCCTCCAGCAAACTGTACCGAGGCAGTCACCAGGAAAGCATACTGAGGAGAAATAAATAAAAGATTCTTTTTCAAAGCACTTTCAGTCACACAGGCTTCCCTGACTAATGAGGGTTTCTTTTTACATTCCAACCTTGTCAGAGAGCAAACACAGCTACGACAACGCAGATTGCATCCATAAAACTTGAAAACAAGTGATCTCTGTGTCTCCTGAACAGATTTGGCCCTATCTAGGCTGAAAGACAGCTGTTTTAGTTTACTGAGGTGACAGCAGTGAGGAAAGAGCTGACTCAACACAGTGAGAGATCCAGCTATACGGGAAGGACTGCTCAAAGAAGGGTCAAACATCAAATTCAGACCAGGTTGTTCAGAGTTTTGTTCAATCAGGTCTTGAAATCCTCCAAGGCAGATCCTCCAGGCTCTGTTCCCTTGTTCCAATGCTTAACACACTTCATAGCAAAATAATTTTCTGAACACCCAGTTGGAATCATCCCTACTTCCCTTTATACCCACTGCTTTTTCCCCTCTCTAACAGTGAAACCCAGGGAAAAGTCCGGGTCTGATTTCTCAGCAATCTTCTCCCAGGCTTTGGAAGGCTGCTATTGGTACCCTGAGCCTCCTCGTCTCCAGAATGACACGCTCAGCTCTGCCAGCCTGTCCCCACAGGTCACACGCTGTGAGCTGTGCTGGTTCACTTGCACTCCCTGGACTCGACCGCCTGCCTGCCCCAGGCAACACAGCGCGTGCCTGGCCTCTTCCCAGCCACAGCAGCTGTGCCATTCCAGCAGCAGTGACTCCAGCTAAGTGAGAACCTGTGAGGGATGACTCTGAAGAGCACTTCAAGCCACGCAAATCAGAAGAGGGTATACTATGACACTAGAGCTCTTCAGTAACATCAGTCCCATTTACAGAGAAGTCTCAGGCTTGTTTCTCCCAGCTTGGAAGAGTCACAAAGGAACGGCCTTTCGATGCTGCCTACTGCTTGGCTCCATAGAATTCAGGAAGATGAAACTGGGCACATAGGCCTGGTATCTCCCAAAGACAAGATAAGAAAACAGTGTTTCATAACCAATCAGACAGCAATACCTACCTCATAACCATATTGGAGAACACAGGAGGCAAGGAATGCCCCAAGGATATTCCCCACAGATGCACAGGCACTCCAGAGTCCAAAAACAAAACCTCTCCTGCAGAAGGGGAAAAAAAAATTTGAAACCAGCAATGTGAGGAGAGATGACATTAGGAACAAGACAAAGATAAAACCTTCAAGTGAACTTTAACTTATGAATAAAGTTACAGCATTTTCCCAATTCACTTCAAAGAGACTCGAAGTTCATTTAAAGCAAAACACATAACAAGTTGGGGGTACCAAATAGATAAGTGAGGAATGTTCTATTCTGGCTATGCATAGAGCTCATCTACAATGTCCCAAAGTGACAGAGTTGAACCTACAATGAGTCAGTTTCCATTTGATCTCTTTAGTAGTAAGGAGACAGAAACAATTTTCCAGTGGTATGAAAATTCAAATTCAGTCACTCTGCACTACGGGATTTTTGAAGTTTGAACCTATGCTTTTAACACTCACAAAAGAGAAAGGGGAAAAAAAAATTTCATCCCACCCAACTTTAATTATGATCTAACAGCTGGCCTTTCGGGCTTAAGAATTTCAGCTCAATCTGTTACTCAGCAGGTCGTGTGAGTCACTAAAGAAAACTTAACTTACCCAGCTTTTCCAAACCAATTTCCCATGACAGCAACCACGCAGGGCCAGCCAGTGGACTGCAGCAAGCCATTCACAACCCAGAGACAGCAATAGAACCACTTGTTGTAGAAATGCAGCCATTCTGTGAGTGTGCCAAAGAAGAACACCTACACAGGAGGGGGGAGGCAAAACAGAGGAGAAACCCTCAGGCTACCGCTGAAAGCCAGGCAGGAGTGGGGCCTAAAAAAAGCAACAACCTTTCAGGGAGCTGGTCCCATGCAGGGCCCAGGCCAGAGGGCAGCCTGGCATTGTTTGAGACACAGTGCAGAGCGAAGAGCACCCTCTGCTGAGCCACCACAGCTCCAGCTTCAGAGCCCAAACAGCTCCAGAGACAAATGTGCTGTCAGGGAACTTCCTGTTCTCCAAAAGACTTCTGTCTCCCTAAACAGCACAGTTACAACAGGAGAGGAGAAGAAAGAGACAAATACTCTTGGTAACAACACTAAAAATACGGTAGCCTCTTGATCTGCCCTTGTACTGACATCTGATTCCATGAGGCTCTGTGCAAACACAGAACCCTCAGCAGTCATTTATCTTCGCAAAATTGAACACAAATACTACAGCCAGGTCTCAAATTACTAAGAGTTCCAACCCAAACTAGCCAAAATAAACACATGTTGTGGCACACTGTGCTTGATGCACATTTGTGGTCATGTGTTTGCAGAGTGCAATAGGCCACACTGGGGTTTGTAGCCAACTGGGTAAAATCAAACACACTCCACACATCTTAGCACTACTTTAACAACCAGAAAACCACCATGAGATAAAACTGATTCACATTTATCTGCAATGGTTTCAAGCTGAAATACCCTTTTGTTTTAAGGAGACATTCTTTTTTGATACATACCCTCCTAGCAATTATAAAATAAGTAAATGAATGCTTGGTATTGTTAGCATGTCCTTTAAAGAACAAAGATTGTGTTTAGAAGCAAAGGCCTAGATAACAACATGTGTGGGCTAAGAGGTTAAGTTATATTAGAAAACAGTCCTCCAAATATACCAATCTGGAACAAAAGCTGTTCATTAAGTCTCTAGACAGTGCCTCAAAGTTAAGAATTTCCTTCTGACACAGTATCCAGAAATAGATATTTCAGGAAGAGGTGAGTCATCCAGCATAGGTCTGTGCTTCAGACAATGCAGTACATGCATCCAGAACAAAGTTTTGCCCACAGGCTTTGAGACCACTGAGGTACAGCTACAGCTCACGAGCCAATTCCTGCAGAAACAGAGCCTCTTCTCCCCAAAAGTAAAACCCTACCCAGAAATCCTAAGAGAGATTTTTAAATCCCACTACTATGTCCCAACTTACCACCAGAGCAGAGGAACACATGCCAAAAGACAAAACCCAGCGCAAATTCAGGCGATCCCCAACTATGCCGCTGACAAAGAGACCCTAAGAACAAAACACAGCATTAAACAAAGCCAGAAGATTTGCACCTGATATCTGTAAGAATTAAAATGACAAAGAAGGGTCACACTGATCCAAATGTTGCTGTTACACCAACCTACAGTTTCATTCTAACCACTTTTTCTGCCACCAAAGAAATCCTGCTCATAGCTGTTCATCACATTTCTTGTTTAAAAAATTCATCTGAGGACTCTTGGATAGACAGAACTAGTCCTCCCACTCCCCGGTAACAGGTGTGTAAGAAATTCTGAAGTGATAGTATTTCTCTTGTGATTGTTAAAAAGCATCTTCACATGGGTGACAGGCATGGGAAGAACTAACAGAAGCTGAAGGGAAAAAAAAATATGCCTCTGAGCTAAGCTTTTTTATGTGGGTGTGATCTTCCCATTAAGATTCAATCAAAGCTTAGCAGCTCGGCATTAGTTTTACTCACCACAGCATAGGAAAACAAGAAGATAGTGTCCAATGTCCCCAGGAAGAGAGTTGCTTCTTCTGCCTTTGGAAATAACCGGTTGCTGTTCCAGAGCTACAGAGAGAAAATATTAACAGGTAAACAGGAAGAGGTGGAGCTCATCCTACACTATTTCAATGGAAACTCAAACTCTGAAGCAGAACAGACTCTGGCCCACTCCTCCAACACTTTAATTATAAAATCAGGAACAATTCTGGCATTATATACTGCAGAAAATGTCCACTGCCAACTTTGCTTCACTTCTAAAAGGCAAGCGAACAAACCACCAGCAAGAAATGCTTGTTCAACCTGGATCAAGGCAAACAACTGGCAAAGCAAACCTTACTTCTAACAAGCATGCAATGTTAGACAGCTTCTGACTCTAAAACACTGATGAGCATCTTAATGAATAATACAATAAAGGCATATTCTGTTTTATGTGCAGCATCTCTTCTGTACTTATCTTGCTGTCTTCACTAAATGAATAATTCCCTTAAAGTATTTGTGGCAGCAGCCATAATAAGAAATGACAGACCACAAACAGAAAAGAAAGAACACAAAAGGAACAAGGGGAAGAAAAAGACTCGTTGGAAACTATTTACAACAAACTGCAGTCACTAATGTTGTTAGTTTTTGTGCTTACCCTGAGTTTCATTTTATTTTAAATATGATCAAAAAAAGGGAAAAGAAGACTCAACTGTCCCCAAAGAAAGATTAGTGACATCAGCTGAAAACAGCAAGCTTTGAGGATAACTTAAAGAATGAATAGAGTTAATCAAAACAAAGTTTTCTTCCCTTGTCATAATGCCCAAATTAGAAAGCAAACCAACCCAATCCAAACCTGACCTATGGATGTACCTAACTCAAATGTCATGAGTTTTAGTTTGATTCTATCTCTCCAGGAGAACATTATGTACATACAATACTAATTAAACATCCACTTAGTTTAAAAGATGTAACCTAAATTGATACCTAAAGGATTGCTTTGGCTACTTTTCTTGATCAGACACATGCACCTCAACATTTAGCAAGCACTAAATCTTCTGTAGAAAAAAAAAAAAATCAAAACAGCTTCCAAGATGTACTAGTTGTCTGAATGTCAGTTAAAGAACTAAATATAAACACCTTGTGTTTCAATTTGGCATCCCTGAGATGCTCACTCCTTTTGGACATACTATAAAACCCTCAACACATTTCAGGCACAATTTACTCTTTTATCACAAAAAGTCAGCATTTATCATCCTTCTGTCAAACATTCAAAGAACTGATGATTTCTAATCCAAACACTCAAGCAACTGGCTTGGAACTCCCTGCTCTAACACATCTCATGGCCTGTGACCATGCTGTTAATGTACGATTTCTTCCACTTCTCAAAAGTGTCAGGACATAGCATTACTATAAACAAGAATGTCCCTAAAAACACCACAGGTAGGAGCCAGGAGATAGTTCTTGCATTGCCATTTGTGAGAACCAAGCAGTATACAACTTCCTTTCCTGCGGGCAAACACTGCCAAACCTCCCACTGCTTTCACTGAATCTAGGATTTTACAGACAAGGGGTACTGGATGTTCAGCATTTTTGGAAAATCTGACCTTTTAAATACAAGATAAAATGTCATCCTTCCTATCAATTTAGGACAAGCAGTTAGCACTCTCAGATATCTTTATTCTCTCCTAGTTTGGCTATTCTTTTAACAGGGTGGTAGCAGCACCACTGCCACAGAGAAAGCACAGCCAGGATTTCACAGAACTCTCTGGAAGCCCATTAACTGCTTCTGTTTATTGCCTCCAACACTTCCAAGGATGGGTCCCTCTTTCTCCCTCGTTCACGTTGCTGGCTATTACAGACTCTGCTGGGGTCCTCATTTCCATTGGAACTCTGTAACTTCTTGAGGAGTTGCTCTCTGGGGACCACTAGGAAAGATTTCACCATCACCTGATGATCCATAAAACTACAATGCAAACACCTGAAGTTCCTGCTCCCATTCCAAGAATTGTTCCCAACGGACACCTAAAGGGGCCTCTTGGGCACCACAAGTTCACAGGTTCCAGCACACTGGAAGTTACTCATCTTTCTTTGCACTTCCCTATCCCTTGTGTCCTTACCTCATATGGCTGGAGCTCAGGGGCCGTGCTGTTAAGGCAGGAGGGAGTCCACTGGCTGGAAATGCTGACTTTGACATTACTGAATGTCTTTCTGGAAGCATGGAGCAGGGAATAACTGCCAGAAAACACACAAAGACAGAGGTTGGCCAAATCTTCCCTGGTAGTCAAGTGGGAAAGGGTGGGGTATCAAATACAGATACACACTGTCTGAGCAGGCAGCATAGCAGAGCATTGGCAGTTTTGGAGATAGCAGTCAGCAGTGGGAACCTCCAAATTATGGGAAGATATGGATTTCACCCTTCTGCAACAGACTGCTCTTGGCTAGGCACAGCCAGCCTCACCTTGCTGGCTGGATTCCCCAGGGCCATAACACCCTTACCTCTATAACTGCATGAATCCAGACTGACTGGCACAATGAGCCTATAAGTTAGTTTTCAAGGCTTGCATCCAAAGGTTAAGACTACTTCCCTACCTTTATTCTTCTTCTTTGACATGCTCTCGCTTCCCTAAATTCAGTGAGATGAACACTTCTCTGTGCAGAGATACACTCAACCTACCTGAAGAAGGTCAGCAGGAAAACAACAATATGATGGTGGGTGCAATGGGACACAAGGCCTCTGTTTGCAGGCTGCCTCCGTAAGCTTCCAGGCAAAGCCATGTTCCTGGCAGCCCTACCCTTGCTCCTGCCTTGGCCACAAGGGCTGGATGGTGATTAGGTCATTTTTCCTTGCACTTAAAACAGAAGAAGGTGGGAAGAGAGGAGAAAAAAAATTATACTTGAATTAAAACACACGTATAAAGTACAGTTTTGTTCCCCAAACAGCTGGAATTCAGAAGGAACAACTCTATGCCATTCCTTCTCAATTTGTTTCACACCATTACCATTCTCATCACTTGTACATTCCTCAACACCTTCTATGCCTAAAGGCGTCTTTTTGTTCCCACTCTCTCAGTACCCTCATGGTCACCTCCCAACCCACTTCTTTTTTGTTTCTCTCCTAGCATACACCTCTTCAGTGCCCATCACCAAAGGGGTTCCCCCTGGATCTACCAACTTCCATCATTCCCACATTCAAGACCATCCTGCACCAATTACACACATAGTGAACTAGAGAGTGGTCATAAATAAGACACCTTTCCACCACTACCTGCCTGGCCACAGAGTGGTGATGAAGGCAGGAGAGCAGTGTTTGGCTGCTGGTGAAGAATGCTCTGGGATCTAATTGCCTTGTTAAGACATTGTTGAAAGAATATAGCCAAGAGTGGACTTGCACAGTCAGAAAACAGAAAGTAACTGTGAGGACAGTGCTGAAATCCAACAGCTAGACTCCCTCCCTATTTATTCTCAAGCCTGACATTACAGCTCCATCTGTCACTAACTCATTAGTACAGCACAGGGCAAGTTGTACCTTCCTGTAGGGCATGGGTGACATCTGCCTCAACTTCTACATAACCAGAAGTTATCAGTACTGAGGGAAGGCTACAATAGACAGACAGTTTCTTCACACCGGTTCATGTCACACTACTCCACTCCCCGAGTTGTGCTGGCGTGGCCGAGGGACCACTTCTGCCGACTTGAGTTTGGCAAACAGCCCCACTGGGGCAGCGAGGTGGTGAATCTCCCCGCACAGCTGCCTTTTGTTTTCTTGGTAGAGTTCCTATTCAGCCTCCTTCCCTATCACAGATCAAGCAGGAGCTACACAAAGGCTTGTGTCCATGTGACAGACAGAGCAGTGCAGAGAGAGATGCTGTACACCAATGCTGCTGCTGAAGGCAGAGCTCAATCCTGTCAGCACTCACTGGCCTGAGACACCGGGACAAATCTGTTGGTGGGAACTGCATTTTCAGAAGACATGCAAACACCACACATTCTGAAAGCTGAAGAGAGGTAAAATAATGCATGACACCTGTTCCCCCAAGGGAACTGAAACTGAACTGGTTCCCCCCCAAGCACTGAAATAAGACAGAAGATAGCGCCTTTGTATTCTTCTGTATCCATGAGTGCCTTCTGTAATTATTTGTAAACCTGACATAAGACTTTTCAAGTTAAGCTTAATAACCTCACTCGGAGAAATCAGAAGTCACTGTCCAGACACAGCGTCATCCAAATTTTTGCTGCTGAAAATGCTGTATTTCACAGAGACTTTCTGCTCTTCCTTCTAATAGCTTTTAAAGGTTTCAAGACATCTTTCACCGCAGGAAGTCTTCGTTTCCTGTCCTCTAAACATGTGAGCCTGATTGACATCCTCAAATGATGTGAACCTGATTAACAAAAGGATGACAGCTACTACTGGAGACATGACCCGTCATGGAAACTGAAACCACATCTGACCTCCAAAACAGAGTATGGCATGGAGATCCTCTGAGTAACATGGATCCAGCTGCGACAGCTCTGAGACACTGGAGTCATGTTTAACCTACACCACACCTGAATGCCTCTATTCTCATCCAAGACAAATACAGCAAGTCTGTACAAGACCTGCCTCTACACAGCCCAGGTGCATTTGAGGCACACTCCCACTGCTCCAGCTAGCACAGAGCACCTTGGTGTGCCAGTACCTCCTTGTAGGGACTAGATTGCTTGGGTTTGCACAGAGGAAGAAAAAAAAGCACCTACAGCTGGAGCTGTGGGAAGGCAAGGCTAGCTCAGGAAGAGGTAACTTCACAAGTAGTCTTGCTACTACCCTCCCGCTGAGGTCTCAGACCATTTCTCAGCACCACTGAATGAAAACTCAGCACCCACACAAATAGGTGCTGCTCCCTTTCAGGCAGCAGTAGCACTGCTCAGGGCTGTCTGCCACACAAGCTGCATGGAGAAGAGAAGGGAAGCCAAGGCACTCCAATTTCCCAGCACCACCGTCCTTATGGGCCTGTGAACCACACGGTCTGCTGGTCAAACGCAAGAGCTCGTTCTTCTTCCTTGCCTCTCCCTCCCCTCCCACCAGGCAACGGCAGGTAACAGAGCTTTCCTGAGGAAAGCAAACCACTGCCAGTTGTGCAATGCTGCAGGGAAAAGTTCCCTCCTTGGGTAATCAGTCTGCAGCCCGGAGCACAAGATTTACTACTCACTTCATGTCAATAGATGCAAATATAGATCTTATTTGTCCAAGATACTGAGTCTTTAAAGCTAAGACCTAGCTTGACCTTAAAGTCACCTATTGTTCTATAGCATTTATTACTGAAACGATCTGTTTCTCAGAGCTTCTCAGTCTCAGCTAGCTTTTTAGAAGCCCTTCTGGCACAGGACACTTTCACGGCGTAGAGATGACCATGAAAGATTTTGTTTTCCCTTTTTCTTCACGCTGTCCTTTCTATATTCAAAATTGGCATTCTCCCTAGGCTAGAAAAGTATGCAACTAGGAGGTTAATCCTCAAAAATTAGTCTTCTAATTATTCTGAGAACACCACAGTAAGTTTGTAGTGGAGGAGAAGCAAAAACTAGGCAGCAAGATAACCCATAGAACTCAAGGCAATGAAGCACAAGCCTTTAAGAAAGGAAGAGGAGCACTTCTAGGATATTAAGACTACCTTGTCTGTTTAGCACTATTTATCTTCAGCTAGCCAATATTTTGAGTAAGCTTCTGTTAAGCTTTCACCCTTATTTGTTAAGCTTCCCCCTTAGTCCTCTTATCCCTTCACTTAAAGTCAAAGTAAGACACCTGAAGTTCAAAATAAACTTCCTTAATACTACCCTGCCGTCCCCCAAAAAAGCCGGCAGGAAAGACTAGCATTCACATTCCTGAGACTAACAAAGTGCAAACCAAACAGATTTTTTTCTTAAAATTACATAAAAATAATTAAATAAGTAAACCCGAACTAACAAAACCTCCCACTCTTACGCCATCTTTCCAAACAGACAGAAGCACGGCAGCACAAACCCAAACCCACACAGGGCCCTCCGCAGGCAGAACCAGCAGACCGTCCGCCACCCCGGAGCCCCAGCCGGATGCTGTCTGGGGAGAACACGGGCTGCCCGAACACCGGGAGGACGCGAGCACGACCCGACTGCCGTGCCCGCCCTGGCAGCGCATCCGCAGCGGCGGCAGCAGCGCCCGCAGCCCGGCAGCGCATTCCCCGCCTCGGCTGGAGCGCCGGCCGAGCAGGACGCGGCTCCTCCCGCCCCGGTCCCCGCGCAGGTGGCGGTGCGGCCACGTCCGAGCGGGGCGAGGAGCGGAGCCGAGCGGGCAGCGCAGGGCACGCACCGCCTCCTGCTCCGGCACCGCCACCGCCGCTACCCCCCTGCGGCACCGCATCCCACCCCACCCCACCGCCCCGGGGAGCCCCCTGCCCCGCGTACCGCTCTCGGCGCCCAGCGCGGCCGAAGGAAGTCGGCAGGAGGGGGGGCGGCCCTTCCGGGCGGCCCCGCGGAGCGGCGGGAGCTGTAGTCCGGCCCCGGCCGCCGCCGAAGGGCCCTGCCCGCCTCCCGTCCGGGGGCGGGCAGCGAGCGGCGCCGGCAGCGCCTCCCGGGCCGGCGGGGCGGGGAAGGGGAGGGCCCGGACTACATCTCCCGCCGGCCCCGGGCCGGGGCGGTGCGAAGCGGGAGTACCTGTCCCGGCAGCGCCGCGCCGACAGGTGAGCGGTGGGACGGGGGCTCCTTCCTCGGGCCCGCGGCTCCTCCTCCCCCTCGCCGCCCCGTTCCAGCCGCAGGCCCGCCCGGGAGCCGCGATGCCCTTCCCCGGCTCCGGCGCGGACGATGCCTTCGACTACCTGTTCAAGATCATCCTGATCGGGGACTCCAACGTGGGGAAGACCTGCGTGGTGCACCGCTTCAAGACAGGGCAGTACAACGAGAAGCAGCAGAACACCATCGGCGTCGACTTCACCGTGCGCTCGATGGACATCGACGGCAAGAAAGTGAAGGTCCGTGGCGGGAGGAAGCCCGAGACTCGTGGTGGGCAGCACTTTTGCCCTGTCACCTTTCCCACGCGGGTGCTGGGGAATGGTGGGATGCACAGCATCTCCTACTCGGCCCTGAGGAAGGCAGCTGACAAAAGCTGGCTGGCTGCCTTTCGGACCAGGGGTGTTTCCAAGGGGAGTTTTCTCTCAGGAGCATGCCCTGGGGGAGGCAGTCACCCTAATTTGGGTTCATGCTTGCTCTCGTGACTTCTCTGCATCTGCTTGAGGAGAGGGCTCACGCTTTGCCTGCAGAGAGTTCTTTGGAATCCGACTGCTGTATTTTGGAGGGATGTCTCCTGCTTCCTTCAGAGATGTGGAGGTTTAAGCTGGGACACTGAGGAGAGAAAACCCTTTAGTTTGCAAAGGCTCCACTTTGATGTGTGCTTAATTTGAGGAACAAAGGCTTCCAAGACAGACACCAGAAGAAATGGTTAGCTAGAATTTCCCTCTGTGTGCAGATGGAAGTTCAGATGGAAGTTATATAGACTTCCTCTGCCCAGTCCCACATCAGGGTTCTTTGCTCTGCTTCCTTTCCTGTTAAAAGGCTGTAATGCTCTACATCTTTTAGTACAGTTGTTGAAACTGGGTTTCTTGGCCTCTTTACAAGGTTTACCCTTGCCTTACCTCTTTGGTCGGCGTACATTGACTTTACAGGCTCATAAATGTCTCTTCAGATCCAGAGAGGGCAAAGCCACACTGCTTTGGTGTAGCAGAGCGAGCTGGGGCAGGTCTGGCTGCCCTCTAGACAAGGGGTTTCAAAAGCGTGGATGCTGCTGGCAAACACCTAGGAAGTGGCATTCACTGGCCTTTACAACTTCTATCCTTTCTCTTACAGATCCAAGTGTGGGACACAGCTGGCCAGGAACGCTTCCGGACAATAACCCAGTCTTATTACAGGAGTGCCCATGGGGCCATCCTTGCCTATGACCTTACTAGGAGGTCCACATTTGAGTCCATTCCTCACTGGATTCATGAAATTGAAAAATATGGTGCTGCAAACTTGGTCATGATGTTAATTGGTAGGACTTTAATTTTAAATATTGTGTTATGTAGCTTTTTTAACGTGAATATAAAATCTCCTTCACTTTCCCCCACTACCTGAAGCATCTATAAACTATGCATTAAGAAAGAATGCAGTTCTAATTAAAGAAGATCAGAAAATGTATCAATGTGTCCTAAGCTTAAAAAAAAAAAAAAAAAAATGAGGAAAGTCACAGCCTGGTCCTGACAGTACCAAACCCACTGCAGATGGCAAAACCTTTTTTCACTTGTTTCTTTCCTGTTGAAATAATGCAACAAGCTTTGCTGCCAGGATCGAGGCAGGGACAGCCTTGTTGAGGTTAGAACTGCAGTAAGTCTGACCCTATACTCCTGATGCACAGGAATGTAGCGGCTCAATAATTCAAGACTGAAGGGGAATGCACAGAGCAACACAACTCCTCGTTCTCATCTTTCCTCTCTGTTCTTTTGATATGCATGCGCATTGCTCTGTAATGGGATGCCGATCAGGTAAGACAATAGATGGGGAAATGGCTTTTGCAGGGCATGAAGTAGTCTGCTTGCATTCCACTAGTGTTCAGGAAACTTTGCCTCTTGAGGAAAGCAATCGCTGAGAACTGGAGCTGGTAGGAAGCAGCATGGTTCCTTCCTCTTGGTTTCTGGTTGTTATTGCTCTTCCTTCCCCCAGGGAAGAAGCTGCAAATGAGAGAACTGGTGTAGTAAAATGACAGTGGATTTATTTACATTCCACTGCCTCTGCCTGTTGCGCTGTGGCACTGTGCTGAGAGCACAGCATGCAGCCACAGCAGCCCAGACTGGCTCTTGAGGATGGGCAGGTTGAGCCCCGCGGCACAACAGGCCTGGGACAGAAGCACAGTACTTACTTTGGCTGTGGTGGTTCTTCCTGTTCTTCCTCTGAAGAAACAAATAACAAATTCTGATCCGCATCTATAACTGCCGTGCTTAGAACTGGGTGGGTGTAAAGCACTGAACTTGGCAGGGTTTTCCTAACTAGTGTCACGAATCTAAAGAAAAGGACTTCTCTGTGTGTGGTGAGGTCTGGTGGGGTGGTTGCTGTTTTTTAAAGAGAAAAGTTCTGAAATTGGTAAAAATGAAGCTTTTGTTAAGGATTCAGCTTGGTGCTTTCTTCCAAAGCTGGTGCAGTTTGCTTTACTTACTTTGGCAGAAGTTTTGTACATGTAATTACACTTAGGCGTGTTATACACCTGTCTAGCACGAGGTTAAGGTTAAGAAGTCTAACTTTGCCATCTGGAACTGGAGGAGGAAAGAAGAGAGGGCTCTTTTTAAGAAGGCAAATCACCCTCAAGCTGTTTGTTGGGGGGTTGTGGTTTCTTTCATGGGGTGGATTGTTTTGTTGGGTTTGCTTGGGTTTTTTTCCTTTTAGAAAAATTGGAAGGGACTTAATGGGACGGGAGTTGGCTTATATATGCTTCAAATTTGAGATATGAATTTGATGAAGGGTTGTCTTGAAACTATGAATGTAGACTTCAGCCAGGTACTGCGTGCACCAAAACTGATAAATCCACATGTGCTGCAACTAATTAAATATACAAAGGTATTTTATCTGAGGCGTTTCACACTTTCTGATAGATTTTGATTGGAATGCTGCAAGTAAAAGTTTAATCCATACATGCAGAAACAAGTGTATATCTTAAGCATTAAGGTAGCTGGTGTGAGTTCTTGTCTTTTTTGACATCATCTTAAAAGATTTATTCAAGTATTTAACCTAAATGCTACTAAATGTTTAAAAATGCTAAAGAATAGAACCAATAGTTGCTTCCAAACAATCCTTTGGCACCACAACCTACACTAAATAATTAGATGAACACAAGTTTTTAGGTTTTTTTCTTGGATTTTAACTCATTTCCTATCCTATGATTAGCTGCAGTTTCGATCCATAGTCTGTGTCTGTGGCTCTGATGTGCTCACATTTTGTTCTTTCCAGTAACTCTTCCTCCTAACATTAATCTATTATTTAACAGAATTTAATTAATCCATTGCATTTAAAAATGAATTTTTGAGAGACTAAGTTACTGAATACCTATTTGCCTTCTTTTAAGGGAACAAATCAGACTCACTGGATAAGCGCCAGGTCCTGTTTGAAGACGCCTGCACACTGGCAGAGAAGCACGGGCTCTTAGCTGTACTGGAGACATCAGCAAAAGAAGCTCAAAACATAGAAGAGGTGTTCATGTTAATGGCTAAGGAGCTAATAGCCCGAAATACCTTACAGCTTCATGGAGAGAACCCTCCGAACAGCTTCTGTCTTGATTCCAGGCCAGTGATTGCCAGTCCAAGTGTGGAGAAGGCCCAGTGCCCCTGTTGAAGAGAAATTTCAGGAAGAGCTTGGAAATTGTCATTCTTCTGAGGCTATTTGATGCAATTGTATTCAATTGATGAAAGTGTCCTCTGTGGCCTCAAGCCATTTCTCTTGATATCTCTGCCTTGGAGTTTGGCTTGTAAGTATTTTCAGAGATCATTGCTGTTGGTAGCACAGGTTGCTTTGAACATGGCAATGAGCTGAGAGGACTCAGGAAGCTGCCAGCCCTTGCCTTAATCAAAGAAAACTGTAAAAACTATTGCCTTTAATTATAACCTTTGAATGTTTTTCTGGCTGTGTCAGAAGATGAATTTGCACCAGAGCTGTGTTAATTTGACCCTTCTGAGCTATGTTGCTGGTTCTAAGTGCAAGCACTTTCCTCTCTGCCAGTAGCTGTAAAAAGTCTGACACATGCTGTTTATACTTTCATTTAGGGGCTGTCCTGACGTCAGGCATGTAGCCACTCATCCCAAGGGACTTAATAACATTTGGGAAAGAGTAAGTGGAGACATCCCTGGGGTTCCATGGCAGGCAGAATATGATACGCTTCTTCCTGGGGCGAGAAGAGCTGCCTTTCACTTTGCTCCCTAATTGTCAGGTGAAAGGACTTATTTTTCTTTTCTCCCTACTGACCTCATCATGCTTTTTGATGTGCTGATTTTAACCAAAAGCCTCTGTAGCTTGTGCAATGGGCCAATGGCAGCTCGAGAGTATGCCTGCAGATTTCCAAGGGAGTGTGAAGGATGGATCCAAGCTCCTGTAAGGGGTAAGATGGTTTGATTAGGTAACCTTGTGTTAGAGCAGTAAGTGAATGGTATGGGGGGCATCAGAAAGCTGCCCTAGGTGAGCATATACACTACTGCTGTGGGGACTGAACAACGTGGAAGGTTTTGGATTGCTCCTCCCGTTACTCAGGGCTCACTTCTTCTGGGCATCTGAACTTGAATGAAGGGTTTTGGTTGGGTTTTTTTTTGGTGTGGGCTTTGAGGTTTTTTGGGGTTTTGTTTTTGAGTTTTGTTTTGGATTTTGTGTTGTTCATGTAGGGTTTTTTTCTTCTCTGTTGTTCTGTTTGCATTTTTTTCCCAGTAGATGGAAACAGGGAAGGAGAGGGAGGAAAGAAATGTTATACAGAGGAAAGTTTTTTGACGACAGTCCACATGCACCAAAGTGTGTCAGTTACTGTTAAGCTATGAACTGCAACTCAAACTCTGTAATGATAAAATATGGTCTGTGTCACATTCAAAGCAGCCCTGAGAAGGCTGGTGTGTTGCTGGCTTACTCAGTGGTGGTCTGCCCATGTTTCCTAAGTCCTTGAAAAATAGGGAAAATCATGTAGCAAATATTTCTGGAAAATCTTATCTGAGAAGCACAAAAAATAAAGCAGAATGAATCATTGATTTATAGTCTCAGAAATACTTCTAATATTATTAATGCTTTCTCTGGTTAAATTCTTTGCTAAGTTCACATGCAAAGAGCAGCTACGTGTAAACCGAGGGAGGAGTCCTCCATGCTAGCCTCTAAGCCTTTTGCCTGCTGTAGAGAAAGCTTCATCTTCAGACATCCTCTTTCTGATGTTTACTTTTTAAATCTTATTTCTTCTTCATTCAGTACTAGCCTAGTAGTTGCATTTCAGTTTGCACATTTAGGCAACGGTAAATACTATAACCTTTCCAAGTGGCAAGCAAGCTTCCAAACAACTAGTTTCTACACCTCTTGTTACTACGAAAACAGCAAAATATAAGCTTAATATTCTTTTCTGTTTAAAATCCAAACTCCTCCTGGTAGTAATCCATCTTTTTTTTTTTTTTTTTTTTTAGTATCTTCTAGAAGACTCTAATAGAAAAGTATTGTGTTCATCTCGTTACACTCTTTCATTGGTCAAGAATTAAAGGAAGGATGTTACCATGTTAATGGTCGTGTTTAACCTTTGCATGGTTCATTGGGTTTACTACCTTAATGAGCAATTAGTGCATGAAGTTATTTTGCTTACCCTCGGTATGGAGGCTTCTGCAGGCTGATGTGATCCTCCCTCACTGCCCAGCACTGCCAGGTTACAGGGCTCTTGCCAGTCTCTTCCCCACAGAAAGCTGTGCAACACGGGATCAGGGAGGACAGACTTGTGACCGTGCCTTCAGCTGCACTGTCCCCTTTCCTTTAACAGGTCTAACAGGCTCCCTTCTCCTCCTTCAAGAAACTAGTTCTTAAACACCTCCACATTGTGCGACTAAACCAGGAGCGTGACCTCTTCTGATTGGTTCTGTTTGGCGTCTTCCACACGGCCTTTGGGCAGTTACACTGAGTGGTTTCTGCAGAGACACTTTCCAAGCTGTCCTCGCCTGAGTGAAGAACAAGCTCTGGCAGTTGCTAACAAGGTTCTTCAGAGAGGATATTGGTACTGGTATTATTCATGAGGTAATACATGAAGCCATAAACTTTAAAAAAAACCCCTTTACTATGGCATGTTATTATAGACTGTGAGAACCACTAGATTAAAATACAAACTCGGTGTAATTTCTGCGGTTCTGCCTTTCCCCATCAGAGAGCAGGTGGGAACATGCAGATATGACAAGGCAAAGTGGCATTAACTGCTACAGAACATCCCATCAATGGTTTTGTTCCCCAGCATCATATGCAAATTCAGCGTGCTTCCTGACACTTATCATCACTGCATTTGTACAAAGTGGAGCTTGTTTATACCACTATTCTGAAACCTACTGCTGTCCCTCGGGTTTCAGTTTTAGGACCAGCACATTCAGCTTGAAGATAAGCTCATTTGTTAAGATTTTAGCTATTTGGAAGTATTTCAGTCTTAGCTGTGGCACATTACTGCCTTGCAGCCATGCCAGAGGAGATTGAAGCAGGACCTACCCAGTGAAACAGGATAATAAAAAAAAAATAAGAAGTATTTTAAAATGGAGCAAACTGACACCTCCTAGAAGCTGACTAGTTTGAAAGTCAACATAACAGCAACCCAGTGAAGTGGAAGGCACATAGCACTGCCTATGTGGTCAGGCTTTGCTTCATATGCAGGAGACAGGCTTTTAATTGCAAAAGCTGAGGTTCTTATCTAATCATTCTAGTTAATGTTTAAGTATAGTTGGAAAGGAGACAGAGAAAGCAATTTTCAGGCCCTGACAGTGGTGGAGAGCTCTATCCTTGAGCCTTCTTTCAGGAAGGAGGTGCACGCCTGTGCTTTTGGACAAAGAATTGAAAGTGAGGCTTCCCCCCACCACCAGGTAAGTGCTCAAACGGCAGTGCTTTTAAGAGGTGCCCCTTCCAGATGTGGGCTGTCAACAGGCAGCTTTTCATGGGTCTCAGCTCTAAGAACACCACATTTGGCTGCAGGTGGGTGTGGGCTTTAACAGTCATTGCTCAGCAGACTGACTCCTGAAATAATTTTCAAGCACCACTCTCATGCAATTGTGTTAGGAACAGGCAACGCTGGGATATGGGAGCCCTTTGAGAATAGTTTTAGACATGCCCAGAGCTCCTTTTTCCTAGGAGTACTTCACCTTGTAACAGGAACGTGCAGTTTCAGTGGGATAGGACTTTCAAATATTTTTTGAAGTATTCTTCTTATGCTGCTGTTCTAAAAATCAGCACTCGGGTGCCTGCACAAGCTGTCAATGCAGTCACATCAAGTTGTTGACTCTGGTTTGGCAGCAAGTGACAAACAGCACACCTATAGATAACAGGGCAGGAGCTTAGCATATTTACAGTCCTGCATTTCCTTGCTACTGCTGTGTCCATGAATATCACTGCTTATACAGTTCTCTCTGCTAAGTCTAGTTTTGCTAACCTGAAGTGAGGCTCACCACAGCTAGTTTAATAATGCCTCTCTAATGCTTGCATTAAACTGACTTTGTAGCTACTTGATCCCTGCAGTGCAGTCCTGTATTGTATCTCAATCCCAGGGGATTACATGTGGGCTCTCTGGTTTTTAACTGCTGCAGCATTAATAATTTCAGCTACCCAAGTTCTGTTCCAGACATGAGACACCCTGTAACTTTCCTGCTAAGGCAGGGTGAGCTACTTTGTATTTCATTACATGCACCAGGCATGCCCTCAAAGACTACAATCCACCTTGGGCTACAGTCAAGGGCAAGCTCTGCTACCACCATTTGAACTGAAGCAGCAGAGGTTGTAACAAGTGCTCTTAGCTTGTATCATCCCATTCAGACCAGTGAGAACGGGCTGCACGCTTACTCTGCGCTTACCACAAGAGGCAATGTTTTGTATCAAACTAAATCTATATATCCTGGCCTAGGAAGTAAAGTCAAGGCACTTCAAGTGAGAGCATGCATCTTTTTCCGAAGATTTTTTTGTTTTGAAATCAAGATTTTGCTGGTGGAAGGTTATGGAGACTTAATACCTTTTTCATCTTGACACTACTCTGAATGGCCTCTTCAGTTTCTGTACCTTAAGTGCTTCAAGAAAACATAGCACAGCCTAAGTTGTCACCTCCATCTTTTTACATTAAAAGTTTGCCTTAATTCTACTGAAATTATTCCTGATCTTACAGAGGAAAAAGATAACAGCCTACAAACATTATTTCAAAGGCCCTACTATTTTCAGTTATTCCAGTTTGGGATGGGTGGGGGTAGAAATCACAATGCTACAGCACGCTTGGAAACAAGCCTCCCACCAGCAAGGTTCAGACACAAGTTTTTTCGGCCAGTCTCTTCGCGAACGAAGAACCGGGGAAGGTCTTGCCACCTTCCAGCCTGCGCATTGGATTTTTTAGGTGAGACACAGTGTGCGCGGAACTGAGCCCACCCTTTAATCCTGAGGTTCATCTGCCGGGGCCAAGCACGCTTGGACGGTGGCAGCGAGGTCCTCAGGACGTAGATGGATTGCCTTACAGGGCTAACGAGCTCCATCTGCCCGGGGAGGGGCCC